GTGTGACGTAATACCAACTTAAAACCCCCGACTTAATCTAGCTTGTTTAAACAATAACATTTGGTGGTTGATTCAACGCCTCTCATGGGTTCGACCCTTTCTTGCCCTTGCTACTAGTTTAGTAGGATCGAGTTAGGTCTTATTTCTTGATAGGTTGACGACGTCCTATCAAGTTTTGGCGCCGTTTCCGGGGAGGCAAAGTCACATTGAATAAGTTATTGTTGAATGAGTCTAGATTTGTGTATATGTATATAATCTTCTTATTTTGTTTTTGTTTAAGCGTGTTTACTTTGTGATAGTCATTGCTAACGTTTTCCTTAGCTTTGTTTGACTGTGCATGACACGGAGGAGTAAGCAATCACCGCTTATCCCCGTAGATCCGGAGTTAAATAGAACTTTGATGAACGTAAGAAGGCTCCTACAAGGCACGCCGGATTTTTCTCTAGCTTATACGGATTCCGAGTCAGAGGATAATCTTGACAACGAGCAAGAGATGGCCAACCCACCGCCTCCTCCACTTCTACAAGACTATGACCACACCAATGCATTCCAAGGGTTAGGGTTCAGTGGTGGTTGTGGTGGGTTAGGGGGTGGCTAATGGGGTTACGGTGGTGGGATGGGTTGGGGTTACGGTGGTACGTTCTGGTGAGTGGGGGTGGTGGGTTAAGGGGTGGCGGTGGGGTGGGTTGGGTTGGGGTGGTGAGCTGGGGTGTGGGCAGTGATGGATCCGGGTGGGGTAAGAGTTAGGGGTGGGGCTGTTTTTTTTTTTTTTTTTTTGTAACTTTTCCAACGAAATTTCCGTTGGAAATCTCTCCAACTCCGACAAAAATTACGTCGGAAACTAGCCTTCCGACAAAAATTCCATCGGAAGAGGTCGAATTTCCTACAAAGGGTGTTGTGACAGACTGATTCCGACGGCATTCCGTCGGAAGACCATTTTCCGACGGAATTTCTGATGTTTCCGACTGAATTCCGTCGATGACATTTGGTGAACGTAAAAAATTTGATGGCATTGGTTGAATTTTCAAAGAGCTTAATGACATTTGGTGAAATCGCTCCGTACTTTTTATTTAGTTTAAAAATTAAATATCTATGTATAGAAGAATATTGTGGGATGATTCTCAATGTATATTTTCAAAATATATATATTAATGGTCAAGGTAATATGTTTAAAGTAAATATATGGACGAAGCCGCATTTGTCACTTGATAAACAATTTTTATTTTTTTGTTTTTACAACAGTCCAAAAAGGAGGCTAGCTCCCAATTGACTCAAGACTACAAGTAAAACAAGGAGAGGGTTTAGCTCTCTTATCCATAATAACACAAGAACTATAACATGGAATGGGGGTACAACATTCATGACTTATTATGGGATACAAATATAGGGATTGACAGGTTTCGTCTATACGTTAGCCATAAGATGATTAGAGTTTGTTCCTTTTCGCTTCTTGGACCTGCAAAACAATACCTAGAATAATGATTATCTTTCTTTTTCTTCTTCCTTGACATGTATGACCTACCATGCTTCCTCGTCGTGGCAGAAAACTTAAAGGTAGTGGGTGTAGGGATGAACTACACCTGGTTGGGTTCAAAAGTCATGAGATCATCTTCATTGGATCCAACAAATTCCACTTCAACAAGGTCAGTGATAGGATAGTTTCTCGCTGGATCTTCACTCCCATTCTCAATGCCTGAACCTTCATTGTTGTTATCAGGTAATTCTAAACATATAGACTCATCTAACTTCTTAACAGCAGTAGTGTAGGGTTTTTCAGACCCCACAACATGGTTGACCACTTTTGGACCAGGAGGGGGCATGACCTTTTTCTTTTTGGACTTCTTGTCGCGTCTCCTCCTACTTGAACTCATCTTCTTAATAGGCATGGAAAAGGACGGATTTGGGCCTTTGGAATCCATATCCTTGTAAATTTTAGAATGCCTATCTTGAGTAGTCTTTAATTTCCTTCATTCTTACAGTCATCCATGAACCAGCATATTGGTTGAAGAAATTCAAAATCCTCCCTTGCTTGAGATTCAAATAGGTCAAGGAGGAGATCTTCAGGTACTTGTTTCTTTTCATTCTATTAGTGAAGCAATGGATTTTTCCAGGTTCCATGACTTGTCTTGATTTTTGATCACTTAAGGTAGGGCTGGCAAAAACTGACCCGACCCGAAAACACGACCCGAACCCGACCTGAAAATATCGGGTTAGGGTTGAGGTTTTTGACACGAAAACTTAAATGGGTTGACACGAACCCGACCTGATATTTAAATGGGTTAGGTTAAGGTTGAGAAATTCAACCCGAAAGTAACCCGAATTGACCCGAAAAAAATTAAAACATGTTTTGTTTTTGGGCCAGATCCATATTGTACTCCGTATGAGATATATATGTACTACCTAAAGAATAAAACCCTAATATTTATTTCCCTACCCACCAGCCACCGTCACATGTTTTCTTACCTCCACTTTCTCTCTCATAATTTTTTCTCTCTTCTCTCTCATAATTTCTTCTCTCCTTCCTTTAAATGAGTTTTTCACTAATATTCTAACCCAGATCTTCATCAAATGAAAATATGACTTTCATTTTTCTACTACTTCGTTTTTTTTTGTGTGTGTTATTAAATAGTTTATTTTTGTTGTTGTTCTTTAGTTCGAAAATCTCTATTGTTTGAAAATAAGAATTTAGTCATTAGTTTAAATAATATTTCGTGTATGTTTGTTTTTCTGTAATTGTTTTTCAATTTATTTAATGATTGTGTCGAAGTTTTCTTTCATTCTTTTTTTTTCTTTTTTGTTTCTCTGATTTTTCTTATTTTTGTTTTGCACGACATGCAAGGTTGAGCTTTTGCTGTTTCATGGTTTACCGACTCATGAATTTGACGCTTCATATGGATCATTATTTTGTTTTATTTTGGAAATGTAACTTCAATTCTCGTATAAAGGTGTACTGTGTGGATTCCAATTTCATACTAAGTATTAAATTATAAAAAAATAATTAAAGGATGAATGTATGTGTTGCCAGATCTGAATAAAAATCCAAATTACTGGCTTAATTTTTTCATTAAAAAAAATCAGGTTGAAATCAGGTTGACCTGAACCCGAATAAATCAGGTTAGGGTTAGGATTTCTGACCCGAAAAGTTAAATGGGTCAGGTTTAGGTCAGGGGTTTTTTGACCCGAAACCGAAATGACTCGAACCCGAAATGACCCAACCCGACCTGATTGCCACCCCTAACTTAAGGGGCAGGTTGAACCAACTTCTTCATTTTCCAAAGGAGCATACTCATTGTGGGTAAGCATGGAGCTCTCTACCTCCATCTCACTATCAAGACATGTAGGGGACAGACTAGTAACATCACTCCCCCGGTCATTGCTTCGAGAAGTTGGGCCTTGCACTAGGCTAACAGTCGACTCACTAATTTTCCCCTTTTTGTTGTAGTTACACTGAGTAATGGAAGAAGTTTCAGTACTACTCTTACCAACGATCTTGCTTGCCGCACAACTTAGGTCCTTCACTTTCTCCACTTCACAGAGGATCTCCTGATTATTAGGCTCTGACCTGGCTGCCTTGCCAAGGTCCTCAAAGCCTCTTTCAGTTGATTAAGCTTGATTTCTGCTAAAACCCTTCTATAAAGAGATTTAGCATTGCTACTATCAAACTTGATGGTTAAGGAGAAAAATTCCTTAGTTTGTTCAAAATCATGAACCTTTAAGGCATAAGTAAGCTGCGAGATTCAATTCCAAAGCAATAGCAAGACTCCATAGCAAATCACACTCATCCTCATTCCTTGGTAAACCAAAGCACAAAAATTTCAACCCTCTATTATACTTAGCCCTAGCACAAATAAACTCACCACGTTTATAGTACAAATTACCCTCGTCCTTCAAACTCATGACTTGATTAAATATTTTTCGAGGGCAGTTATTTGTAGCAAAGTTCACAATACTTTCATCATAGTCGTCATTCAAATGAGTAACCATAAGGGCGTTAAGTAGAGGTCGACAATCCATATATATACCAAAGACAAGACTTTAATAAAAACCACAAAAGGAGGCAAAAACACTGAAGTAGGAGGAAAATATCTATCTTTAAGTTTTTTTTTTCTTGATTAAAAGAAAACTAGGAAAGTTGTAGAACAAGAAAGAGGAAAACCACCACTAGCGAGAAGGGCTAGAAAGGGACAACCGCCATCTACCTTAGTGGTAGGCGGCAGGAGGATGCGGAGGCAAGTAGGACAACCGTTGCCCGAAACACCCTTACTAGCGAGGTGCTTTCTCGAGATATATTACAGCGAAGGTTGCTTCGTCAAATAGCGAAAACGCTCCTCGCGATCTGGTTGTGCCGGGCAGAAAATAGATCGCTGGCGATCGAGAAGGGGAGCCGCATTCAGCGATCGCGACGACCCGTTTGAGAAAGCAAGGAGGAGGCTGCTGGTTTTATAAAACCAAGGCCTCGCTACTGGTATTTTTGGGGGGGTTTTGAAACTCGCGCGTCAGGCGCGTTCGGAAATATTGTTAATTACTTAAGCTATAAAGCCTTTAAAGATAAGTCACAACGTAATAAAATGGAAAAATGGTAAATAAATGAAAAAAAAAAATCAATCAACAAGACATATTTGTAATTGTTCAAAAATTGTGTGGGATCTATTATTAATATAAAGTTATTGATTTATTTATACTTATCGATCGCGATGCACTATCATAACTCATAAGACATCATCTTCTGTCAACGTGATAAATGATAAATGATCATGTGTTATGAACGTATTGATCACCATGCATTTCTCATATGACATCATCTTCTATTTAATAAAATAAATGACTTGAATTTGTCTTACAACTTGCTATCTTTACTATGAAACTTTAATCTATTGTTCCTAATCTAAAAATAATACTATAGTTTTATACAATTAAATTTGTTTTGAATCATTCAAAAGAATTACGCAATTATAAAGTGCAAGTGTGCAACTCATTAGACAATGTAATCTTCGCCTTGGATTTATAGTTGATCTCCAAGCAATTTTACCAAGCAGAATTCGTTTATAAATTCTTAGTAGCTATTGAATATTTGTAATGGCTTTAATAACCACATTAAACACTAAATTCATCTCCGAACACATTGTCAAACCTTCGTCTCCAACACCTAACCATCTTCGATCTCTACGAGCCTCGTTGTTTGATCATATAAACGTACCTATCCTAATGCCCCTTATCTTCTTCTTTTACTCTCAAAAACATACTACCAAGATTGGTGCTAATGATGTCTTGGATCGACTCAAAAAAACCCTTCCCTATGCATTATCCGTTTTCTATCCACTAGCAGGGCGTGTTCTGGATGCTAATTCCATAAGCTGTAACGACGAGGGTGTGCCCTATGTGCAAGCTGAGGTGGATAAGCCATTGATAGATGTAGCTTACAAGGCCGAGATCTCTCAGCTTGATAAATTGTTACCCCCTTATGGCCAAGAAGGGTTTACGGCCTTGTTGTTAGCCATCCAAGTCAATGTTTTTACTTGTGGCGGTCTTGCCATTGGGGTGAAGATGAGTCATGCCATTTCCGATGCCTTTTCTTTTGTGATGTTTGTCAAAACATGGGCATCTATGGTCGCCAATGGTAATAACCAATATCATCACAATCTTTGTGGCCGCCCTTGTTTCGATATATGGAAACTTTTTCCACCTTCGACACCAAAATTTAACAATTTTGATGATTGTGATGCCAACCAAAATGCTGATTTTATCAAGGATAGACCGGTTTCAAAGTGGTTCATCTTTAGCGAAGAAAAGTTACATGTACTTAGATCCAAACTATTTCCCGAAACTAATACAAGTACCAGTCCTAATAGGGCTAGAGTTCCTTCCCTCCCTATGGTATTATCAGCCTTCGTTTGGAGTAGGATCAAGTTATCTTGTTACAATAGTGTCAATAGTATACCTTATGAAGTTTATCATGCGGTTAATCTTCGCCCTCGAGTGAGTCCACCTGATGATCAATCATATTACTTTGGTAACATGGTTGTAAATGCTATAATAAAGTTGTGTACGACGATCAATGATAAAAACATATCAAATTGTCAACGCCACTTCTTAAACCAAATGAACGAGTCCATCGGAAAAGTAAACAATGATGAGTTCATAAGAGAAATGCAAGAGGGTAAAGAGGACTTGAAGTTTATAACACAGCACTTCGAAAGGGAGAGCAAAGGAGATATCGTTGCACTCGGGTTCAGCAATTTACGGAGCTTGCGGGTCTATGAAGCTGATTTTGGTTGGGGGAAGCCAATTTGGGTTACATCGGCAACACTAATGTTCAAGAATTTGGTCATATTCATTCCTGCTGGTCCATCGTCCAATAATATTGTAGCTTATATCAACTTGAATAGCGAAGATATGGCTAAACTCGAAAATGATAAAGAATTTACTGTGCTCGTGTCCAAGGCACCTCATGCTACCAGCAAGCTCTAAGAATCTAAGAACTCGATTTTATATTTTTCATAAGACGGGTTAAAGTTATCTTAAATGTATTTAAAGTTACTCTTTGTACTGCAAAAGTTATTATTTTTCTAGTAATAAATTTTATCTTATAAAAAACTTATAATGTATTAGATTAATCATATTAGTCTTTATAATATGTAATCAAGAATTTATAAAAAAAATTACACATTAAAATAAACTGCAAACCAACATCAAATCAAAAGTTACTCTTTAAAGGTTAAAGTTACCATAAAAATAGTTAACGTTTCCTCAAACTGATAGTCTTACAATAAGATTAACATTCACCCGCCTTACACAAGAATTATTTTTTGACATGTTGTCTAGTTATTTTTTTGGATTTAACGTATTATCAAAATTGATTTGTAGTATCGCAGTTGTAAGCGAGATAATTTCAGCTATATTTATTTTTGCTACTTGAAGTTAATGTCAACTATCTTTCAAATTAATAAAAAAAAAAATAAAGCCTTCTTTTTAAAAAAAAAAAAAAATTTAAAAAGCCAGCTATAAACAAGTACTGTATCTTGTTTCTTGGAAGATTTAAAATTTTAAACGACTACCATATAGTTTTTTTTATCAATGCTAATATTACTTAAGGCATATATCAAACATCAAAACTGAAAAAGATAGGTTGTCCTTAATCACCAAAAAAAGTTGTAAAATATGTACTGTACAATATTTTGCTTACTTTCCAATATCCAAATAAATTAGGGGTCGTTTGGTTAGATCATTTGGAATGAGATGAAATGGAGTTAGAATCCATTCCGTCTAGTTTTTTGTTTGGTTGAGGTTTTTTGTAATAGAATCTGATACCCAAAGAGTTATAATTCCTCCCATACCCATGGAATCTCATACTCACCTCTCCCCCTAAGATTCTCAATCCATTCTATTAATGAATGATAGAATCCATTCTAACAATAAAACCAAACAACTTTGAATTAGTATGAGTTTTGGAATCCATTTGCATACGAATCCATTCCAACTTGATGAACCAAACATCCCCTTAAATATAATGAAATAGTAGATGTAATTTTTTTATTTGTCAATATTTTAATAATTGTTGAATTTGATTTGATGTGTAGTTTTATAATATCAACTTTTAAAAAAAATTATATAAAAGAAATATGTAAATAAGGATATTAACTATTAAAGACGTGTTAAAAACTGTTTAAAATTAAATAGACATTTCAATATGGAACGGAGTAGGATTGATTGGGTGTACTATTGATACCGATTGATTCAGATTACCCGTATTGATTAGAGAATAAATTTATATTTGGTTGCGTATTCTAAGCACAACTAATTCATCCAGCTGCCTACACCGAAAATAACTAAACGTGGGCAGAGTTACTCCCTTACAGTGCAATTCTGTAACTTATTAGAATATTAGCAACTTGAATAATTAAAAAGTACGACTTACTTGACTAATTAAAAAAATATTAGTTCGTTTTAAGCATTTAATAACATCTATATAAACATGTCTTATAATTATACCATTCCATAGAAATAAAATACTAGCTTTTTCTTAGCTATAATCATAGAAACATGGATGAGTTAAAGCCCTCAGTAACAAATTCAACTCCTCTGACACCTCTATCTTTCTTGGAAAGATCAGCTCTTGTTTATGGTGATTGTCCCTCAATCATCTACAACAACACCACCTACACTTGGTCTCAAACTAACCAAAGATGTCTTCAAGCAGCCTCTTCCATCTCCGTCCTCGGAATCGGAAGAAAACACGTCGTATCGGTAGTGGCACCGAATGTACCCGCTGCCTATGAGCTGCACTTCGCAGTCCCTATGGCAGGAGCCATACTTAATAATATCAATACTCGACTCAATCCCGCCACGATCTCGGTGATCCTTCATCACAGTGAATCAAAACTAGTCTTTGTCTATCACAAACTAAGCTCTTTAGTTCTTGAAGCACTGTCCCTCCTTCCACCCAACCACCCCTGCCCTCGCCTCATCCTCATCTCGGACGAGGACAATAATACACCAACCCCACGTGAATTTTGTGCCTTATATGAGGAGTTAATTGCGAGGGGAGATGCTACGTTCAAGTGGATTTCACCCTTGAGCGAATGGGACCCGATTGTACTGAACTATACATCGGGGACAACATCTTCGCCCAAGGGTGTAGTCCATTGTCATCGAGGGTCTTATATCTCGGCCCTCGACTCGTTGATGGATTGGTGTGTACCAAAGCAACCAGTCTACCTATGGACCTTACCGATGTTTCATTCGAATGGATGGTCCTTCACTTGGGGGATGGCGGCTGTAGGCGCAACTAATATCTGCTTGGAACGATTCGATGGTGCTAAAATTTTTGATCTCATAAACCAACATAATGTGACTCACATGTGTGCTGCTCCCGTGGTGTTAAACATGCTTATTAATTGTTCAAGGCGAACCGTTACACAAACCCTCCGGAACCCAGTGCACATTCTAACTGCTGGGTCTCCTCCACCGGCCTCGGTAATCTTTGAAGCTGAATCACTTGGGTTTGTTGTTGCACATGGTTATGGATTGACCGAAACCATTGGAGTAGCTGTTTCTTGTGCGTGGAAGCTCAAATGGAGTGAACTTCCAGCTATTGAGAGAGCGAAATTGAGAGCTCGACAAGGGGTTCGTACCCTTGGGATGGCAGCTTTAGACATAATTGATCCATCCACCAACAAACCAGTGAATCGAGACGGAGAAACTGTTGGGGAAGTTGTTATGCGAGGGAGTTCAATTATGCTTGGCTACCTCAAAAACTCTCAAGGGACTTTGAAGTGCATGGGAGAGGACGGGTGGTTTAGGACCGGCGATCTTGGTGTGATCCACCCCGATGGGTACATCGAGATCAAGGATCGATCCAAGGATATAATTATAAGTGGAGGTGAGAATATAAGTAGTGTTGAGATCGAGTCAGTGCTATATACTTTTCCGGGGGTTCATGAAGCTGCAGTAGTGGCGCAACCACATGAGTTTTGGGGGGAGACCGTTTGTACTTTTATATGCTTAAAAGCCGAAAACGGTCAGGTGGAGGCGAGTGAGAAGGAGATTATTGACTATTGTCGGGCAAGATTGCCTCATTACATGGTACCTAAACGGGTTGTTTTTATTAATGAGCTCCCCACCACATCAACAGGAAAAATTCAAAAGTTTGTGTTAAGAGAAATGGCCAAAGCAATGGTAATGAGTGCAACACAAAAACCAAGCCGTTTATAAGTTAGTAACCTACATTCTTAAGGTTAAGTTGAAGACCTTGTATTGCAAAAGATCGAGTGAAATCTTTGGCAATGCATCTATGTTTAATTAAAGGTTCAAATATTTAATTATTAATTCCTATATTCTAGTTGCACTAGGAATAAACGTACGTTAGTGACTACTTGATAATTATTTTATTTATTTATTTATTTTTAATATGTAGTTGTGATTTTAAAGCGTAGTGGGTCCATGCTTGTAATCTACCATTGTTTAATGAAATATCATTTTATCCATTAATAATTTAATTTCTTTACTTCCGTCACATCTTTAATCTTGACACTAAGATTAAGCAAATCTCATCGTATAGCAGCGTAAATGACAAGTTGCATACATTTACAAATAATATACGTAGTACCAAGTATTATGTATAGTACTCCTAGTACAATTGGTTCTTAATTACAATTATAATCATATGCAAGTTATTAAGTTTTGGTACTTAGCTTTAAACATCAGCTTAAAAATGTCAATGAGGTCATCGTTGATTACTTCAATTTTACAGCGCATTAATTTTACAGATGTTTAATTTAATATAAACATGGCTTAATTATTACAATTAGCTTACTGTTTATTAATTAAAAGACATAAATTTCTTTGTTTAATTATAATGTCAATTTCTGAAATTCAAGTGGTATTCGTTGCTTTGGTTCTACTTCTACTATATTTCTATATAGTTATTATCTTAAAGATGCTTTGGCCATACACTTAAAAAAAAAAAAAAAAAAAAAAAAAAAAAAAAAAAAAAACCCTTTATTTGTGTTAGTTCTTTGGATGGCAATGAAGACTATGAACATCAAACTTGTCTCTCATGAAATAATCAAACCATCATGCCCAACTCCTAATCATCTTCGTTTATTACAAGCCTCGTTGTTTGATCACGTAAACTCGCCAACCCTTATGCCTCTTATCTTCTTCTTTAACTCCCAAAAAGCTAGTACCAAAATTAGTACTAATGAAGTCTTATATCGCCTCAAAGGATCCCTACCCAACACACTATCCATGTTCTACCCACTTGCGGGGAGGATGCAAGATGCTAACTACTTCATTTGCAACGACGAGGGTGTGCCCTATGTACATTCTACGGTGGACTTACTAATGGATGATGTTGTTCATATGGCCGAGGTATGTGAACTTGACAAATTGTTACCATCCTATGGCCAAGAAGGCTTCTCCAACTTGTTGTTGGCCATCCAAGTCAATGTTTTTGCATGTGGTGGGATTGCCATTGGGGTGAAGATGAACCATGTTGTATCGGATGCCTTTTCATTAACGATGTTTGTCAAAACATGGGCATCTATTGCTAACAACAATGGTAACTATCATCATGCACTTCTTGGTTGCCCTAATTTTGAGATATGTAAACTATTTCCACCATCAAAACCAAGGAAAGTAAATGGCATAGACGTATTTGCCAACCAAGATACTAGGCTGATAAAGGATAGGCCTATGACCAAATGGTTTATGTTTCACAAAGGTAAGCTAAATGCCCTTAAGTCAACATTATCGAGTTCCTCCACTAACTTGGTATTATCAGCTTTCATTTGGAGTAGAATCAAGGTAGCTTGTCATAAAAGCGCAAATGATATCCCTTATCAAGTGTTCCATTCAGTTAATTTACGCCGTAAATTAGCTCCACCTAATGATGAACAATCTTACTATTTTGGTAACATCTTTGTTAATGCCGTAGTCAAGTTATCTATGATACAAGTGCTCAATGATGATAAATACTTGAATGAGTCATTAAGGCGCGATTTCTTGGAGAAAATGAAGGAGTCCATTGCAAGAATTACAAACACTGATAGCTTTTTTGCAAAATTTGCGAGATGGTACAGAAGACCTGAGATTTGTCACGGAGCACTATGAAAAAGAATGTAAAGGGGAAATAGTTGCACTTGGTTTCAGCAATCTAAAGAGTTTACAAGTGTATGAAGTTAATTTCGGTTGGGGAAAGCCAGTTTGGGTCACGTCTGCCACCCTTATGTACAAGAATACAGTTATTTTTATCCCAGTTGGTCCATCGAATAATGACATGGTAGCTTATATCAACTTGACAGCGGAGGATATGGCTAAACTCGAAAGTGATATAGTTTTCACTTCATTCTTATCTAAGGAGCCTTATCATGTTAGCAGCAAGTTGTAAAAAAATTTAGTTTTGACATGCAAAACAATGTAGTTTTTTGCAACTCTTATGGTCTGTAATGATACTGATGATTTGGAAGGCATAGCCTTCGAAACTGTTGTATTTGTACAGTTTTGGATATTTTTGTTTAATATGTACAATTTTTTTCTTATGGGAAAATGTACATATCTTGCTTTTCATCCATTTCTATGGATTATTATTTTGATCGAATAATTTATTATATTTTATGGTTATTTTTCGTTTATGTCCGAAAATTTATTGAAATGAACATTATTTCTGACAGTATTAAATCCTAATCAAATTGCTTACACTCTTGGTTGTTAATGGCCTCCGACGTTACAGATTTATTATGACCATTTCTTAAATAATTTACTCCATATATCTTTGAGTTCATACTCTCATAATCATTTGCTAATGTTTTCAAAATATAAGCAATACTTTCTTTCGTCTTGATGAATTATGTACCCTTAATCGCATGTCACTCTATTATTTCAACTATTTTTGATATTTTAGCAAGAACAACCTAACAATCCAAATTTAGCTTCTTGTGAAACTTATTAGGAGTGTTAATCAATCTTCGTTGGTCTAATTATTTGATTAATTTTAATCCGAGTATTGACATCGTGCGTGCCACTCATATGCATATGGATGCATCCAATCACATACATATTAATAAAGACTCGGATGAAAACTCGTGACTAAGATTGCGTATTTGGTTTGAAGTAAGCCACTAACTTGGAAGCTTCATTCACGTATAAGTGACAGTGTGACACAACCATTGCAAGCAAAAATTTAAAGCTAGATTAATTTTCTTCTAGTTCTAGTAAATAGTAACATGGAGGCGCTTAAATTAGACACTATTTGATGATTACAACTCGAATTACTTACCTGAGAATCAATATAAATTGATTCTTAATTACTCTTAGTACTTATTTAAGAGAGTTATGAGCTAATTTAAAATGATTCTTAATTACTCTTAGTACTGTTTAAGAGAGTTATGACTTATGAGCTAATTTAAATTGATTGCGTATTCGAAGCCACTAATTTCGGCTGCTACCTATTGCCTCTATTGTTGGGGCAAAGTAAATGAAAATTAGAGAAATGAACACTAGAACCCCTTACGTTTTTTTAAAAACCTACACTTGCTATGCTCGTCCGTTTTATTTATTTTATATTATTTTTAAAAAGCTAAATTTCCTCTTTTGAAAATACCTTACAATTGGTCCCCACTCACTCTTACTTTATCATTTCTCGCTCCTCCAATGATCTATACCAATGGTCCCCACCTCTTTCTCACACTAGTTTATTTTTCAATAAAATAATAACTCTACTATTTTTCTACTTATCTACACCACTAACATCTTATTTTATTAAACCCCTAAAATACCGTGCAAGCTCAATTCTAGCTTTAAAAAAAATAGAGGGAATACTTTTATTTAGGGGAGAAATTGGGGATCTCAATTTATATTTTGAAAATATATATTAATGGTCAAGGTAATGTGTGTTGAAAGTAAATATGGACGAAGCCCCTATTTGTCACTTTGATAAACAAAATTTAATCACCAAATGGAAAAACGGATAAATAAATGAACAAAAAAATTCAATCAACATGACATTTTTGTAATTGTTTACAATTTTTAGATCCATTTTTCATAAAAAGTTGTTGATTTATTTACACTTATCGATCACGATGCACTTATCCACTCATAAGACATCATCTTCTGTCAACGTGATAAATGATCAAGTGTTATGAACGTGTCAACTTGATAAATGATCATGTGTTATGAACGTATAGATCACGATGCACTTATCGTAAGACATCATCTTCTATTTAATAAAATAAATGACTTGAATTTGTCTTACAACTTGCTAGCTTTATTATGAAGCTTTAATCTATTGTTCCTAATCAAAAAATATTACTATAGTTTTATACGATTAAGTTTGTTTTGAATCACGCAATCATAAAGTTGTGTACGACGATCAATGATAATAACATATCAAATTGTCAACGCGACTTCTTAAACCAAATGAACGAGTCCATAGGAAAAGTAATAAACAATGATAAGTTCATAAGAGAGATGCAAGATGGCAAAGAGGACTTGAAGTTTATAACACAGCACTTCGAAAGGGTGAGCAAAGGAGACATCGTTGCACTCGGGTTCAGCAATTTACGGAGCTTGCGGGTCTATGAAGCTGATTTTGGTTGGGGGATGCCAATTTGGGTTACATCGGCAACACTAATGTTCAAGAATTTGGTCATATTAATCCCTGCTGGTCCATCGTCCAATAATATTGTAGCTTATATCAACTTAAGTAGCGAGGATATGGCAAAACTCGAAAATGATAAAGAATTTATCGCGGTCGTGTCTAAGGCACCTCATGCTACCACCGAGCTCTATCAGTCTACCAACGCGATTTCATTTTTTTTTATGGTCATTTTTTCACATGCTGTCTAGTTAATTACTTAATTAAGCTATCAAAAATTAATTTATTGTATTATAGTTGTAAGCGAGATAATTTCAACTACGATTGTTTTTGCAACCTCATGTAAATGTCAACTATCTTTCAAATTAATAAAAATATAAAGCCTTTCTGTTTATATATTGAAAAAGCCAGCTAAAAACAAGTATCTTCGATGATTTAAAAAGCAATGTGTAATGCTTACATTATTGGTTAAGGCATACATCAAACAGCAAAACTGAAAAAAAAAAAGGCCGTCCCTAATCATCATATAAGATTAATTATAAGTTTGTAAAGAAACACAATCTATTACTGTACAATATTTGCTTACTTTCTAATATCCACAAAAAAAAAACAAAAAAAAAGGTATAAATAATTCAAAGTATATATAATAAATTCAATCTATTGTTGAATTTGATCTGATATGTGCTGTTTTGCTTACTCTCTAATATCCAAAACAAAGTATATATAATAAAATAGTGGATGTTATTATTTTATTTGTTAATATTTTAATAATTGTTGAATTTGATTTAATGTGTAGTTTTATAATACAACACACTATGGTGCCACTTGTAAAAAAATAAAAAATAAAAAATAAAAAAATTAACCAATGTTATTTCTGTTTGGCTGGTCACATCATGTGGTCAGGGTTACTTATTCAAGGGTTACTCATTCAGTTATGGGTTGCTTATTCAGGGGTTACTCAGTCAGTCATGGGTTACTTATTTAGGGGTTACTCAATCGGTCAAGGGTTACTTATAGGAGTTACTCAGTCGATCAGGGGTTACTTATAAGGAGGTCAGTCACGTATAAATATTTGTGAAATAAGAATATTGGTATCAAGAATACGTGTTGAAGACCGTTTAAAGAAAATCAAATAGATATTGTATTATGAAACGAAGGAGTATTGCAACTTGGGTGTACTATTGATACCTATTTGTTCAGGGTAAAAATACCCCTGACACGGGGTCCAACCCTATAGAGACACGTGTCCAAATAACAGGGCGACACGTGTCCCAATAGGAAGATGACACGTGACAAACAAGAGAGCACCTGAATGAGAAAAAGGCCTCCTTACATCGGGAAGCCCAAATCTTGAGAAAGGCGCTAAACTGCGCCCCCAAAGGACGCTTGTCCTTACCTGATTGCGGCGCCAATCAGAGCACACCATTCTAGGTCACCAAATCCTAGATGGCACACACTCCCACCCCTATAAATACCCCAATCATTTATGAAAATTTTAGGTGAGGACGGGGATGGAAAGACCAACATCCGCCCCACCCCGTCCCATTGACATCCCTAATACGGAGTATGTCTCTAAACATCGATATAAGCATGAGACGAAGAAGAATCCACTATTCCAGTTATAAATGCTGGGGCTATTCAAAATTAATTTATCTGCAACTAAAAAGTTGGACCAAGTTTGATCGAGTAAGACCGTGATGAACGGTTTGATCTCACAGTCAAAAAAATAGTATTTTTTTTTTTCTTCAGAATTTTGTTGGATTCATTTCAATGTAAATTTTTTTAATATTTACTATTTGTTTATTATTTTTCACTTACAAAATAAAGACATTTATAGTATAATTTAAGATGTGCTTTTAAAGCGATGAAAATTCAAATAACACAATTGAAAAGGGATCGAAGGAGTAATGGTCTATATTCAAGTTTATGTATGTAGTCACATATATATAAGGCTTATGAGTTATGACCCCATAAGCTATTGATTGAATAATTTCCCACCCAACTAACTAAACCTATAAAAAAAAACTAAAGAAAAAAATATATTGTTGTTTGAGATCAAAATGGAGCAAATTTTACCAAAAATTCCTCACGTATTGATTTTCCCTTTGCCAATCCAAGGTGCAGTTAACTCTATGCTAAAACTAGCCGAGCTCATCCTCCTTGCTTCTAATGGCCAAATCCACATCACCTTCCTCACCACGGAGCACGTCCACCACCGTCTCAAGCTCCACGCCAAGGCAGCCACCCGCTTCAACGCCTATCCCGGGTTCTCTCTTCAGAGCTTCACGGATGGCCTACCGGAAGATCATCCTCGTGGAGGCGACAAATTTATGGAAATGTTGGATGCTGTAGAAGCTGTAAGCTGCCCACTTATAAGGGAGGTGCTAGTAAGAGATTCAAAGTTTGTAGAAAAACCTATAACATGTATGATACCAGATGGTTTATTCGACTTTGCTTTGGATGTTGGTAAAGAGGCTGGAATTCCTGTTATTTACTTTGATACAATTAGTCCTTCTTGCCTTTGGGTCTATCTTTGCCTTCCTAAGTTAATTGAAGCTGGTGAAGTTCCATTTCAAGGTAACATTTATATCCCTAGTTTAAGAGCGATTATTGTATATAGATGCATAATACAACCCTTAAGGTTGCATCTAAACATTAAACATTTATTAAACGTGTTTGCTAAAATAAGTTTAGAAATTTATGACAATATAATCCGGCAATCGTTGTGTTCAATGCTTAAAAGTTTTACTCTTTCCTATCTGAATTGCTATTTGACAACAAAATTATTACTCAGACTGACATTGTTAACAATCATCTTACCCTTATTTTTAATTGTTATTACTTCCTCATCCCTACTCGCCTTCAAACCACAAAATTCAGACCACCACACATCACTTAGACTGCCACCATGAGTAATAACCCAGCCGCCGCCGCCGCCATACCGCCACCACACCACCACCACCCTCCTTTATTTTCTGAATTGCTATATGTCATCAAATAGTAACTCCCCTTTCCTATTTAACCCAAATTATCACCTATGTCTAAATATACACTCTCTACAATCCTTTGAGTTTTACAACATTTTACCTTTTATTAAATAGTACTCGTATTTTACAACATATTTCTTATTATGTAGGATTTTACAAATTTTGGATTTTAATAGGTAGTTTGTAATTTAAAAAAAAAAATCCTACTATTATATAGCTCTTTGAGATTGAAGAGCATGTGGTAAGCCTTTTTTAAATTGATGTTTCTATACACACTGTTAACACAACTCACATAAGCACATCCGCACATGCATCCCCCAAACACAAGACTACCTCGGTAATTAAATTTTTGTAATTCTATTTAATAGAAGAAAGATGGTTTCAATTAATTTAAAGGCAAATGTTAATGACCATCTCATGGGTGTTATAAGAGAACTAAAAGTGGAAATATTAAATTAAAATTAGCATTAATTACTCCGATCGACGCATAATTTTATCATACATTCCTAACTTAATATTATTTTAAGTAATATATTAACTACTTATCTAACACCCGGGGGCCGCACTAGTTAGCAATATCCTACTTACCCAACTAAGAGAGTTGGGTAGCCATTACAACTCTAGAATCTATTTTTACTTTGATTGATTTTTAGTTTATATTATCTTACAAAATGTTAAATTTACTAATATTTTCCAAAACTATATATTTATGACAACAGCTTATTCTATGAACTCTCTTTGGCACATAGATTTAGTCAATGTTTGTAATAGATTAAAGCTCAATGTGATTTTCTTGTTGTAGAAAATGATGATTTTGAAGCACTAGTTAATGTCCCTGGCATGGAAGGTCTCTTGAGGCGACGTGATCTTCCTGATTTTTGTCGAGCCAACAATCATACTAGTAACGTTATGATCCAACGCATTTCGAAACAAGCGAAGCAATTTAGCAAGGCTTCGGGCTTTATACTCAACACATTTGAAGAACTAGAAGTACCATTGCTTTCCAACATTCGCTCTCATTTTCCAAGTGTGTATGCTATTGGTCCCGTACATCTACACTTGAAGGAAAGAATATCGCAAAACACAACACTATCTTATAACTTAAATAGTTTGTGGCATGAGGATAGAAGATGCTTAGAGTGGCTCGATCAACAACCTCTAAAAAGTGTCGTCTTTTGCAGTTTTGGAACTCAAGTGTGTACAACCAAGGAAAATCTCATGGAGTTTTGGATAGGTTTGGTAAATAGTGGGATTCGATTTTTATGGGTTAAACGACCACAATCTGTTATAGGGATGGACGACAATGTTCTCAATTGGGACGAACAAATACCTAGTGGTTTGCTAAAGAGTGTGAAGCAAAATGGGTATGTGATAGATTGGGTTCCACAAGAAGAAATTTTAGGTCATTCTTCTATTGGAGGTTTCTTAACTCATAGTGGATGGAACTCGACAATGGAAAGTATTGTGGCAGGAGTGCCTATGATATGTTGGCCTCGTTACGTAGATCAATTAGTTATTAGCAGGCATGTGAGCCATGTTTGGAAGGTTGGATTAGACATGAAGGATGTATGTGATAACATTATAATAGAGAATATGGTAAGGGAAATCATGGATAAAAGGAAAAATGAGTTCCTACAAAAATCATATGCATTAGCCAATTTAGCTACACAATCGGTAAAGAAAAATGGATCTTCCTATTGTTCTTTGGATAAATTAGTTGATGACATAATGTCTTTTAGATTAGCAATGTGAGTAGAAAAGATAAATGTCTTGCTTCTTGACTTTGGTTTTCTAGTAAATAATGGCATTTTACTCTAAGCAATATGCAATTCTTATTTTTCTCTGTCTAAGTTTGACAATATTTGGGTAAGAAGTTGGTTGCAAAGCATATTCGTATGATTTTTTTTTTTTTTTTTTTTTTTTTTTTTTTTGAGGAAACAAGGATCAAATTAAAGCATATTAAAGAAGTTTACATCAAGTTGTTGGTTGCCCGTAGGCCCTCCCAAAATGACATCCTGTGAAATAGTTTGATGTCCAAAAGAAGCAAAGTCACTGCCTAAAGCATTTATACAAACTGGTGGAGGAGTGTCTAAATTACAAATTTGATACATTACATTTAAATCTCCTCTAGCATGCTTTGCAAGGATGTCTGCCACCTTGTTTTGTCCTCGTCCCTCATGGATGATTCTTCCATCAGTTAGTTGCTCCATAGAAGCCTACAATTGATAGTTGAAGGTGACTGTAAGATAGCATTATGGGATTGGTTAATTTCCTCAACTGCCTCTTTGTTATCAGATTGGATGATGCATTTTGCCCATCCTTTGTTGTTAACCCACTCGAGAGCAAGATGAATTGCTTTCACTTCTCCTTCCTTTGAAGATGGTGTGTAACCTCTCCAGAGAAATCCAGCTATCCATTGGCCACTATGGTCCCTACACACTCCTGCACACCAGCTTCTTTGGTGGTGTGAAGGAAAGAGGCATCTACATTAATTTTAAGAAAGAAAGAGGTGGGGGAGCCCAAACAGAGGGGACAAGCTTTAGTATCTGAGAGTTTTTTGAGGTGGATAAAAACCATTCAGAAGCAACCCAAATGCATTGGGTCTTTGACTTTTGAGAGGGTATGTTTTAGTTTTTGAAGATCCAATTGTTTCTTCTGAGCCAAATAGCCCAAAGAGCAAAGCAAAAGATGGTATGCCAAGGCACACCATTTTGAGCAAGAGTTTTGTAGTTCAGGTTTCTGATCAGCCAAGACTAGAACACTTGGTTTTGACCAAGTATAAGATGGTTAGGCACATTTAAAAGGAGCCAAATTTCTTGAGCCCTAAGGTAGAAGACAAAGAGATCAAGGTTTGTTTCAGGAATGTTCGGGCAAAATGGGCAAGCATTATTAGAGTGGCTAGGTTTCTGTAAAATAGATTCGATTTGGTGGGAAGTCTATCATAAGCACTTTGCCATAGGAAAGCTTTTATCTTCGGGAAGGTATTAGCTCCCCAAATGGCAGGCCACAACTGATCATCAAAGGAGTGAGTAGAGGGGAGGCTGCATCTTTAAGAGATGAGCCATAGAGAAGCCTTTTTCATATTCAATTTACCTTTCTTAGTCCAGCTAGTGTAATTATAAGCTACATTCTGATTCAGACTTACTGACTGAATCCTATTAAATAGATGGTCATCCAATTTGAAGGGTATCAAACCTTCAATGGCTGACTTATCTTGGAATGGCAGCTGATTCAAAGAAAGCTTTGTAGCATTGACAAGGATAGGGCCAATTAGCAGAGATCTGATTGTGTCAGACTTAAGCCAGTTGTCTGACCAGAAGTTTAATTATATGGTTCCCCATCCCTGCTTCCCATTGAAGGCTATGTTTGAACAATTCCCACCCATGACCCAACCCCTTCTAAATATAAGAACCTTTGTTGAAAGGTACCGGGTTGAATTTATTCTGAATATATTTATCAAAAAGCAGGGAACCTGCCAATTTACCTTGGTATCCACCATCCAGCAAACTCTTGCAAGGGAGACTTTGTTCGGCTCTTCATGGCTCAAAAACCCCAGTCCCCCTTTTTCTTTTTATTGACACACACTTTCCCATGAAATCCAACAAGTTTTTCTTTTGTTCATATTTCCACCCCAAAGGAAATTTGAGCAAATAGAGTCTAATTTTTAGGTGACAGATTTGGGATTTTTGAAACAAGTCATGGTGTATCTTGGCATAGCTAAAAGGTTTGATTGGATCATGATAATTCTAGCTGCCCGAGACATGGTATTTGCTTTCCAAGAAGCCATTTTCCTTCCCACTTTATCAATGACTGAGTTAATTTGCCTTTTGGAAGGTTTTCTGTCAGAGAGAGGGAATCCTAGAATAGTACCAAGGTTTCCAGATTTTCTAACATTCAACACTTGTTCAAAATTATCAGCAATCTGTTGGGAGGTATTAGGGGAAAAGAAAATAAAGCTTTTATCTTCATTAATCCTTTGGCCAGAGAGAGCAGCAGAAAGTTTGAAGAGTGTTTGAGAGAGAGTTGAGAGTTTTTTTGTCTGCCACTCCAAATAGTAGAACATCATCTGCAAATGACAGATGTGAAATGTCTGTCTTACCACATCTAAATCTGAAAGGCTTCCATCTTTTTCCCTCACATTCCTCATGGATTAATCTAGAAAGATACTCAAGGCATATGATGAATAGGGTAGGGAGACAGAGGGTATCCCTGTCTTAGTCCTCTAGAAGGAAGGAAATAAGGAGTTAGTTTCCCATTTAGTAGAATTTGGGTGGAATTATTAGTGACACAGGACATGATAAGAGAAGTGGAATGGTGGTTGAAGTGCATCATCTTAAGGCAGTGTTCAATGAAAGACCACTTAAGCTTATCATAAGCTTTCTCAAGGTCTAATTTAAGAGCAAATACACCATTTCTGCCTCTTTTTTTCCTCATGGAGTGTAAGACCTTAAAGGCAACAATGTAATTCAATTTAGTACCCTACCCTTAATGAAGCTATTTTTGGTTTGAGGAGATGAGAGAGGGGAGGTGAGGTCTAATCCTATTGACAAGGATTTTGGTGACCACTTTGTAAGGGGTATTAACAAGGTTAATAGGTCTACAGCTGGTGATCTGGGATGGGTTTTTGGAATGAGGCTAACAATGGTTTTTTTTTAGAGAGGGGGGATCAGTTTGTATAAGAAAATGTCAGTGATAAAGGACAAGAGGTCAACTCTAATGATTTCCCAGTTATTCTGAAACAAGATGGCATGGAAACCATCTACTCCTAGGGCTTTAAGGGGACCAATAAAGAATAAAGCTTGTTTTGTCGCATCCAAGGATGGTATGTTAGAGCATTCAAAGAAGGTGGAAGCTTGACTAATAAGAGGAGGGGGAAGTGTGGGGTTTTGAGAAGTGAAAAGATCTTTGAAGTGGTTGCACACATGGGTTTGTAGGAGAATTGGATCATCAATCCATTCTCCCACCTAGTTTTTTAGGCTGAGAATTTTATTTGATTTACCCCTGACAGTCCCACCGGATCCACCACCTCAAACGAGTTAAAGGAGAGGGTTTGAATAATTTTTTTACAGCTGGATTTTGTAACTTTTGTCTCAGTTAGGATGATTATTTCTGGGTAGTGATCCTTGATCAAGTGACGGATGTTTGCTTTGAAGCCATCTCTTGCTATTCCTCTTGTATTCCACAAGAGTATCGACATTCTTGGCTTCATGTTTGGCAGAAAGCAGAGCTCTGTACGCGTCTCGTAGGACGCGTCGTTGTCCAGTTCGACGTAGCGTTCCAGGTAGTTGGAGTAAATCGACAGAGTGTTCTTCTTTATCATGATCCCTGCCATTTCCAAGTGTCCTCCCTTCTGTTTCCCCCAAGCCGCGGTGAGGTGGAGTTGTTGCGCATGGGATACCAGGTGCATCTATTTGACATTTTTTGTACCGCCTACTGGTGATTGTAGCATCAGCCAGTCGCTTGTAATCGACACTGCTTTTCTTTCTTTTGGAAGAACGACAACTGGGTCCATTGCGAGAGTTCCCATGGAAAGTACATCAGAGTGTACTCCTTTTGCAAGCGTTGAATCCACCGTTTCAGGAGAATGGCTAGTACCTCGTTGATGAGGCTTACATCCGCCAGAGATGGGATGTGAGCGGGTATCAGGCGGAATGGTTCCTTCGGGTACTCCATGTGCAGATTCGTCAGGATCGCCAGAACATTTTCCGGGTTGAGCAACAGTGTCCGAACTTCGGCCGGAGACAGAGGACTTCATTCCCCACACAGTCCCTGTGCATAGAATGAAGTTAGGTTGAACATGGAGTCTGGATAGGTCATGTGAAGGTGATGATGTTTCGGTCTTGAACTAAAGTCACGTGAATTGTTGTTGGTTGTCGTATCGGTGGTCGGAGGAAGCCCCAGGACCTCTGCCCGTCATCCAGGTCCTCGGTCATTAGCTTGGAGAGTTTTTGGATGAGCAACAGGCAATGCATTTTGTTTTTGGTTGAGAAGGAAAGAGATATGAGCGGGTAGGTATGGCTGTGGTGAAGACTGAAAGTTTAGAAAGGCTTTAAGGGGGAAGTTTTGAGAAAGAAAAGCCATTAAAACTGGGTTAGGGGTAAGGTGATTTGAAAATCGAAACGACTAGAGGGGTTTAGGCGGCGTGTTTCAGAAGACGAAGAGTTGGGGAAGGGAGAAGTCAGAAGTTGAAAAGAAGTATTGGGTAGGGGTGATGATGGAAATTGGGAGTGGTGGTGAATAGGGGGTTGCCACGTGGTTACATTGGTAACTTGCGAAAATCCTTCCGGAATATTTTCAACCGTCATATTTTGAAGCGGGAGAAATTGATTTGTTGGGCTGTGATTTTTTTTTTTTGTGGGCCCAAATTCGCATTCGAATTTTCGCGGGTCTTAAATCCGTTGGGTAAAGACCCCCTGTTTTCCACTAAACTTCTTTCCAAGATTGCTTCACCAAAGGTAGGTGCGGCGCTTGAGAGGCTGGGTTCCCTGTGGAATTCGGCGGTGATGGATGAGATTGCGGCGGTAATTCCGTGGAATTGACGTCCTTGTAAATGATTCTCTGTTTCAATTTGCCAATCCAAATAAACTCCTTCCTTGGTTTGGAGGTATCCACGAGAACGAGCATTCTTGAAAATCTTAAGTTTCCTTGGTCACGAGACTTTATCAAAGCTTATAAGAGAGTTCCGATTGTACTCCCAATTTTCTTTAGGAAAGATTCATGGAGGAACTCTGTTGGTAATTCTAGCAAATCAATCCAGGTTGGGGAAGTGGAGCACTGCTCTTCCGATGGTTTGAAACCCGGTTTCCATTTCTAAGTGAAGATGTAAGTGTCGTTGATAAACCAGGGGCCTTGGCTTACTATTTTTGCAGCATCGGCTGCTTCGTTGAACATTGAAATGAAGTAACCCTTCCAAGTAGGGAATGAATTCATTTTCCCAACTAGT